AAAAAAAAAAAAAAAAAAAGGTCAAGGACAGAGTCCAGAGGTAAAGCCCTAGAACCAGCACACACATAATAAAAGGCTAACACTAGGGATGTAGTAGTGGAAGAATGCTTGCCTTGCATGTGCGAGGTCCCGGGTTCCATCCCTAGTACCTCAAATAAATACACAGATCAGAAAAATTTCACTTTTAGCTTAGTTGTTCATTGCTACAGACCGAAACTGTGGGACTTAAATAAAAACACTCCAAAACCTCGAATGACGTTTAAATGACATTCTCCCTTTCAGTCCCACAGGGGCTCATTTGGACTGAACTCAGTTTTGCTTTTTTCAGGGATTTGCTGCAATTCCAATTTGACTACCGACAGATGGGAGGTGGAAGTTCAACATGCTGTTTTCCTGATGTGAGCCAGTGAGTGCAGAGATCCTGTTCTGTACAAACTTAGCTCTTTTTTTCCTGGATAGTGCTAGGATTGGCCACTGAGCCACACTGCTAGCTCTTTTTTTTTTTTTTTTAAGCAAATGAAAATAATCCAATAAACCTAACTAGCAGAGGATGGCTTGGAGCCGGCCCAGAAAGGTGGGTCTTTGTAGGGTTACCTATGGTGTCCCTGCCTATCACTGGACGAGGAATTTGGAAACTGTTTTTTGTTTTGTTTTTTAACTTAACCAAATGAATACTCCATAGTAACTCCAAGCCCCCTTCCCCTGGGGGAAACACAGGTAAACAGAAGCTGGTTCTGATCCTCTGGGAGCACTGCCCGACTGTGTGGAGACACACCTGGTGACTCTTACCCAGGGAGCACCTCCAAAAATGGATTTCATGAGGGAACATTTGGAAGAGCTGCGGGATGGAGTGCACGTTGTTGTTGGATGGATTGGAGAATGAGTGGATGATGGATAGATGGATGGGTGCGTGAGGGTGGGTGGCGGGTGAGGGGTGGTGGGAGGGACGGGGCCAGCACCGGCTGTGAGCAGCTTCCGCCGGACTCAGGCCTCAGTGGTTTGCTAACCTGCCCTCGGGGCCGGTCCGGACCGATTTAGGGAACGGATTGGGGACGGCAGGGAGCCGCCGCCATCCGCGGGGTCCCGCCCCGTCCCGGGGAGCGCGGGGGTCCCGTCCCG